GGAGAGACCTGAGCACTCTGCAGGGTGTCACGCACTTTTCATGCTGCCATGGTATATGCGAACATGACAAATGATTTTGCACGATGAGATAATATGGCTACCAAACCACACTGCTCCATAACTCTCACCTCTATCTCCTTCTCATAAAATTCATGTACGTTGACATGACTGTGTATCTCCCAAACGCAGCGCGACTGTGAGAAATATTATAATTTTTGAAATGAAAAATATATTAGTATCAAAATTGAGGACGTGGCTGCTTACAACTGATGGTAAAGAATGCAAGTGACACTGTGAATAAGCCCATTTCAGTGCCTCTACTTATTATCTGAACCATGCAGTTTAAATTAAAAAAAGAAAACTTGACTTTAGGGTTCGAGTATTTCAGAAATGCGATGATGATTTAAAAGAACTTGTCTGTGACATATCACCTTTTCCCAAGAAGATTTAACTCTTTAGTTGGGTTAATGACAATTCTGATCTGCGTTCAATAGAAAACTGTAATATCACCTCACCATGGAAAATAAAAACTAAGGTAAAAAAAGAAAAGAAAAAGGCTGGAGTTAAAGAGTTAACAGTATGAAAAAAGGAGTTAAAATAAAATGATGAAAAATGCCTGCCTTTTTTCAACAGTGGTTGAGTTGGAGTCTTGCCATCCTCTTCCTCGTCTAGATTATGTTTAAAAAACACAAAATATAAGTTAATTGTTTTTATATTAGTAAGGTAATGAAAATCTAAATCAAACACATTTATAAACAAAACATAGTATGAAGCAACAGTCCGTTAAAAAAAAAATCAAAGACTGAAGATTAATATTTTCCATACTGAGTGTTGAATATTCTAAAAAGCAAACATTTTAGATTCTGCCCTACATAGCAACTGAGTAACACACCTAAATTTTATTTCTGCAAAATTATCAAAAAAACTTCAGATTTATTTTTAAGCTTTTAAACTTTCATACTTCAAATCAGTGAAAAGAAGCTGAACTATGGCTCATAGAGTAAAAAACTGATGTTGCAGATAATACACAAATTTTAAACATGCTACGGCATCACTATGCAAATGACTGAAAAACAATTTTAAAACAATTTATAATATTTGGTATTTATAAAAAATTAATCACCAGATTACCACTTGAAATACTAAGGAATTTGATTAGACAAGAGTCTTTTGTTTTATATAAAATGCCAGATAATACATAAGTGATGTTTGTCCAAATACATACATTTATGTATGTATGCATGTATGCATACATATATCCATCCATTTAAATTTCAATATCTGTAAATATTTTTCTGGGGTTGACAGTTTTTAATACTTTTTTTCTTACTTTATTTGTATTTTTTGTTTTAGGCATATATGATACAACTCTGGACGTGTACAGTTAAGAATACATTGCAATGGGCTCTGGAGTTAGACTCCAAGATTCTGATCTTACCACTACCCCCTTTTCTAAAGCTGAGTGAACTTAAGCTGGTTACTGAATTTCTCACTTTTCTCATCTGCAGAAAGAGTTAACAGTACCTACCTTAAATAAGGTTGTTATATTGCA